AACTTGTTTAACATTAAACTAGTTTGATGTCATCTGTTGTCGTCCGTCTTCGACTACTGCACTCGCGTGATACCAAGTGCACGGGTTGAGAGCTCCTTGTCGACACCATTTTGACAGGGTCCAAATGACAGGCCGTGAACTGTCTAGAATGACGAAGCGTCTGCCTAAGGGGTTCTGTTATAGCACGTACCATCAACAGAGCCCTTCATGCAACAACCCTGGCAGCACTCAGGATACTTGTTTGTACCTCCGATCGCATCAATGCAGTCTGCTGATGTTTGAGCGGGATGTGGCATGTTCTCACACCCCTGCCATTTGTTGCATAGTGACAGCGCGCAATACTTTCTGCAGCAGGCCAGCAACTCACCAGGTCCCTTCGAGTTTTCACATCTTGCGGTATAGATTGCGATGTCATTCGCACTGCGTCCAGGACAATTGTCGATGACTTGGTCGTAGCAATCCAACAAACCATTGGCAGACACAGGTACGGCGACACTGATGGCGATGACGGACACGCAGCGGAAGCGCATGGATGATGGGGATGTGCTGGAGTTCACTTGCCTATGAAGCAAAACACACAATGAATGAATTTCTACGTAGGCGATGGCCAGCGTCAGGTGGGGACCACATGCGCAACAAAAGAACTGACACGAGGGGAGGTCGAGATGGCCCATTATACCGACGAGTTTTCAGCGACCGCCCAAATTTTCAGCAGTACATAAACAAGTTTGGGTTTGGCGGCCGCGACCAGCTGGCTGAGGTGGTAGGTGGATTCTACTTCTGCTGTGGATAGTCTGTACCATCGTACTATCGCTCAACATGTTGTCACAGTCGCACTGTGCCGCAACCAGCTAATACAACTGTGCGAAGGCGCTTCAATCCTTTTCAAGAGTTGGCATACAATCATCCTTATGTATTCGCCATGGACACCCTCATCTCTAACTATCCGATCGTCGGCAGTGACGCAGTCACTTCGGTGATCGCACTCCACGTCGGGGGCCGCGCAAGCGGCTGAAGGGAGCCACCATCGCAGATGGTTGAGCTCCTCGGAGAGATATATGGCGGGTTGGCGTTCTCCACGCCACGCAGTCACTTCGGTGTTCGCACTCCACGTCGGGGGCCGCGCAAGCGGTCCTAAAAGGGGTTTGTTGCCTTATATGGCAGCATACCCGCGTTGTACGTGCTGCCGCTCCGGCGGTACGCATGTCCCCAGTCTACTTGGTCGCGCCAGCGGTCATGATTGACTCGTAGTTGGCTTCGGTAGGAGGGTCTCTGACCTCGTTGCCGTCGCCCCTGGCTCTACGGAGCCCTTTAGTTGTCGACCCGATACCCGGGCCGTACTTCTTGTCACACTTATCAGTCGTTAGTTATCATAATAATGGACGTACTTGACACCACCACCGATCGTCGGCAGTGGTGTAACCAGTCGACACTAGCCATACCTCGGTCCAGCTTCTTGAACAAGATAGCCTCCGTGTTTCGCTTATGCGTATCAGACAGAAGGCATACTTGTACGGACTTATTGTTTGTAGTAGCAAATGTCCACTGGGACTCAGTGCCTACCGTTTGAATACGAAAGCAAGCGTAGCATATGAATCTTGCAATATCGATCTATCGGATCAACAATTTTGTTGTTATTGAAGTTCCGTTTCGCTTTACTGAATCTCGTCGGTCTTGACAGCCTATTCGTACGAACAAATACAAGCGCGAACGAGCGAACAAAAACGGATACGTTTTTGTCGCTGAAGTCGCGTGCACAATGCTGGCAAACACTGTAAATGATGGTACGTAGACCTTGCGGACCATTGAACGTATGGGCTGAGCTGGACAAGCCGCGTCGGTTTACTTACGGAGTGAACGTACTCATGCATTATTTACGAACGCCTCGTGCAGCTCGACGCACCAGCAGCAGCTCACGTACAAGTCGATTTCAAACTCTGAGCCCGAGATTGACCTCAACTATGGGAAACTTCGAAAGGCGTGGCTTCCTGTCACCGTCCCTCATGTCGACGCGAGCCCATCTGATTGCCGATTCACGAGGTCCATGATCCTCCAATCTTTCAAATCGTACCTCGCACGTACCAGGGATAGCCTAGATACCAGCTAGCAGTACGGCTTCTGCTTGTCAGGAATAACCTGCGCGAGGCTATCGGAAGTCACGTGAACTGAATCGTCTACGATAAGGAATTGTTGTCCTTAAACTGGCGAGCTGCCTGCTGATGGTTACTCCGCCTATTTCACAGGGCGTAAACGGAGCGTCAGGCTCAAAGATCGGCAGAAAGTTGCACAGAAGTTGCGCTGCTGAATGGGACCGTCGGTCTCTTGTGAGACCATTGATCGAAACAAGTCGGCGTTCGGGCGGGCAGCCGACGACAGGGCGTGAGTCGTATGGGAGGTGTCCACGTTTATACTAATCGAAGAAGATAGAGAGGAGCACAGCAGGACCACGTCAGTCCAACGCATGTTCCTGGCAATCGCACAGATGGCTGGCAGAACGGACACTCCGACGTCGTTGGCACGTGTTCGTTGGCATCAATGTACCTCGCTAAGAACAACCACATTTTTGATGATCTCAAATACGCCAATTGTTGGTGCGAGCTATACGACTTACAAAGCGGATCGAATGGTAGAGGCCTATGAGCATCGAGGTCCACGTCATCCGAGCCATTTCGATCTCAATCTCCCGCATACACGCAACAGGTCGTATGCCCTGTCAACTTCGGTTTCGCTGTGATGGATCGGAAACGGATCCTTTCTCACTATTAGCTATGGCGATATCACACCGATTGTTGCAGCTGCGACAAGCTGTCGGCCCTGCAAATGCACCTGCTTCGTCGAGACAACTCGGAACGACAGAGTACGCCATTGACGGCATACGGTCAGAACGAAGTCTTCTGGAAAACAAATTGTGGCGCAAATCGATGCGACCGTGTCATTACAGCAGTACCTCCCTCGGCTTGCGTCCAGACGTTGCCAGGCTCATCTATTCGGATCGCCATTGTGTTCCCTCGACGTACCACGTTGTCGCATGCGGGATGCAGTCGACGAGGGTGGCTTTGCACCGTTGTTTAAGATGGGATCATTCCCAAATTTTTACGGTTCAGCTCAAGCCAGTCTTTTTCCCTTCGGGGCAGTCACGTCGGAGGGAATCCTCCCCTTGGGGAGCCGACGTGGTCGAAGATCTGACGCGGGCACGCTGCACTCGCAGTCGCGGGTGTGGGCGTAGGAGACCGACGGGTCGCGCAAGCGGCCCTAGCAGGGGTGTTTTACGGACTGGAGGCGTACCCCGCGCCACGTGTCGCCGCTGCGGCGAGCGCACACTCCACGTCAAGGGGCCGCGCAAGCGGCTGAAGGGGGCCACCATCGCAGATGGTTGAGCTCCTCGGAGAGATATACGGCGGGTTGGCGTTCTCCACGCCACGCAGTTACTTCGGTGATCGCACTCCACGTCGGGGGCCGCGCAAGCGGCTGAAGGGAGCCACCATCGCAGATGGTTGAGCTCCTCGGAGAGATATACGGCGGGTTGGCGTTCTCCACGCCACGCAGTTACTTCGGTGATCGCACTCCACGTCGGGGGCCGCGCAAGCGGCTGAAGGGAGCCACCATCGCAGATGGTTGAGCTCCTCGGAGAGATATATGGCGGGTTGGCGTTCTCCACGCCACGCAGTCACTTCGGTGTTCGCACTCCACGTCGGGGGCCGCGCAAGCGGTCCTACAGGGGTTTGTTGCCTTATATGGCAGCATACCCGCGTTGTACGTGCTGCCGCTCCGGCGGTACGCATGTCCCCAGTCTACTTGGTCGCGCCAGCGGTCATGATTGACTCGTAGTTGGCTTCGGTAGGAGGGTCTCTGACCTCGTTGCCGTCGCCCCTGGCTCTACGGAGCCCTTTAGTTGTCGACCCGATACCCGGGCCGTACTTCTTGTCACACTTATCAGTCGTTAGTTATCATAATAATGGACGTACTTGACACCACCACCACCACCACGTTTCGGGCACCCCGTGACACGTAGGCAGGGCCCGGCAGCTGGGGTCGGCAGCCCGCCCGTATCTATCTGCATTGCGACCGCCGTCTCACGAAAGAGCAGCGGCAAGTCGTGCGCTCGAATCGATCAGAGTGGGATCTCGACGTTCGAATGGGCGTATGAAAAGGCGATGATGCGAAGAGAACTGCGGGCCGACGTTGACGACGCGTCGAGATGTTTTCCTGCGGTGGCTGCGCCTTTACTCGAGATGTCACTAGCGCTGTCTGCTTTACCGGTACCAGCAGCAACCGACGACAGACAGACTGACACGAGAACTGTCGCCGATACCGGTACCTGTAATTCGCGGCGGTCCTTCTCGGTGGTCCAAAAAAGTCTCTGGACGACACACGTTCTCGCACATTCTTGACACACGCTATGGTGGGGCGCCGGATTTCGACCAGCTGTAGCCATCTGTGGCCCTCCGTCGTTTGGTGGTCGTTTTTGACAGGGGGCTTCGATTTCATCCAATCAGCGCGCGCCAAACAGCTCGCGACCGCCACTTGGGGCGCTCCAAGTCCGACACGGAGCGCGGCGGACGCGTCCCACGGCAATGAGCAGACCGACCGACCGACTAATTGACTGATTGACTGCAGTATCTGCTTCTGCTGCATCGTGTGACTCCGTGTGGCTGTGCGCCAGAAGCAGTGGCCTCTGCAGCCTCAGGCGACGCGCTGCGCGCTCGGAACGGCCTCGACAGGTGGCACGCAGAGGTACTATTCCATTGCGACAGACCGATACACTGAGAGCGCTATGGGTCGAGTCAGCGGCCGACATGGGAGCGCTGCGTGTCGACTTGTGGACGTTGTTGCGGGAGCTGTTTGTTGAACGGCGCGTGTGGCGGCAGCAGGCGGCACGAGAGGCTACGGACGCGGAGCTGTCGGATGGCGCACAAGTGACTAACGGCTGCGGTTGTGGCCAGTCGTTTGACGCAGTTGGGGATGTGGCAGTTGGAGTTGAGGTGCGAGTGTGACTGCGGATGGACGAGACGCATGGCCGTCATGAGCGCGAACGTCTGGTTGGACGAGTTCCGGACGGAGCTGCTACAGCAGAGGACGGGCTGCAGAGACTCGAGTCAGTGCCTGTGGTGATCACAGGCTCTATCGGCTGTACGCAAAAAGGACACACGACGACGCTGGGACGGAGTGGAGCCGACGACACTGCCACGCTCGTTGGCGCTATGCTTTGTGTTGATCACGTGGTGATTTACACGGACACTGCGGGTGTCGTGAATGCGGATCCAGACATTGTGGACCGTGCAGTGGCGGTGTCGCATCTAAGCCATTACGAAAGAGGCACTGGATCTGGCGGTGCATTACATGCGCATTTTCCACGCTCACACGATGGTGCCGCTGATCAAGAGCGACGTGCCGATGCACGCTCGGTATGTCGCCTTCCATCTACTTTATGGCGTGAAAGTACTGCCACCGCGGCTCGCACTGAATTTGGTCGTGCGTTCTTCATGTACACGTCGACGGTCGGTGCAAGTTTGCCTACTATCGACACCCTTGGCAACATCTTACGCACAGGTGACCGCATACTTGGTATCGATACGTCCTTGGGTGGACCGATGAACTTTGTTGCGAATGAGGTGATGAAGGGCAAGAAGCTCTCGGAAGCTGTCGGAGAGGTGCTTTGCAGGGGCTACTGCGAGCGTGATCCGCGCGAGGACTTTACTGGTACGGACATGGTTGCAAAAGTTGTGGTGCTGGCTCGTGCTCTCGGTGTGCATCTGCACGCGAGTGAAGTTCGGGTGGAGCCGTTCATTCCACATAGCGTGCTTGACACGATCGCGTGGTCTCACGACATGGAAGTGGACGACATTGTCACTGGACTAGAGGCGTACGATGAGGAGTTTCGTGAGAGATACTACATGCCAGCTGTGTCGGAGAGCAAGCGTCTTTGCCACGTTGCATCCATCAACTTGGCTGGATCCCTGTCGATCGAAGCCACGATCCGGCCTCTGCTTGTCAGCGAGGATCACCCGGTGTACTACACCAAGGACAATGAAGTCGCGTTTGGTGTCTCCTCCGTGCAGTACCCGAATCCGCTAGTGCTCAAGGGCTCCGGGACGGGTGCTTCTGCGAGTGCTACTGGCGTCCTCCGTGACGTTCTCACGATTCTGAGTAGGCTCAGTGGGAACAATGTTCGCGCATGAATTTGTGACTGCAGACGAGTGCAGTACGACTGTAGATCCTTCCTTGACTACTTGACGTGGTAAGGGAGGGGCACTTGACGCAACCGATCCACGTTCCGGTTCCGCTCGGTGTCACTGGCTGTCGTGTTCCATTCCGATTGTATGCTCATCAATAGACTTGCCTTTGCCAAGCCACAGAGCAGTGCTGCTGACGGTCTTTCGATTGACTCGTGCGTCACGCAATGTGTGTATTGTTGCAGCATTTTGTCTCGCTGGGACCGCATTATCACTGGGCGCTGAGTGACGTCTTGTCTTCCAAAGGTCAAGTGATGGCTGACAAGTAGCGTGGAATACATCGAGTATCGCGATTGCTGGAATACTGATGCGGACGTGGCATCTCAATCGGCAGGTAGAAGTAGGGTGACCGAAGACAACACCGGTGGGAAGACATAACTTGATGAGTCTCGATAGCCTGTGTCGCGCTGTGGGTGCTATGGAAAGGAAAGCTGAAGCGAAGACACGGCCATCGGAGCTAGAGGAAGATCTGGAGCAAGAGGAAGATCTGGAGCAAGAAAGGAGACAAGTGGATCAGCTTGTGTGCAACAATCGGCACAGGTGCTCGTGCTGGCGGAGTAGCTACCTGTTGACGTGCACTACGGTGGTCCACTAGATGACAAGGCGATGCACTAGTGTCATCCTCTGCAGTCTGACGGGTACGAACAACGTTGAACGGCGCGTTCGGCATTGTTGTCCCATCGGAGACTGAACGGGCCGTCGTGCGTATGGTGCTCGCGGGACGGTTGCTGAAGCGTCTGACGATATGGATTTGACAGTAGACGCGAGGTATGTGCAGCACCTCAGAGTAAAAAAAGTGTCAGCAGAGATGACGACACTATTTGTCGTAGCACCTGTTGTGACCGTCGCGAGTGCCGTGGACTAAATTTGCCCGAGGCCGTGTTGCAGTGTTTGGGCGTACTTTTGCAGACTTGGGACAAATAATGTGGATGGTGGCGCAAGGTCAGACCTTCGTGTCACAGGACTAACAGACGGCGTCATCTGGTAGCTTGCGACAGTCGCCGACCGAGCGGTCGGACAATTTCGCGTGGCAGTCGGACTCGCAGCACTGTTGCCATGAAGGCTCATGTACTCGATAGAGAACAGATTGAGACCGCGGCAGACAATGCAGCAGATGTCGGCAAGAAGCGTCAATGTATATTCGGGTAAGGCAGCATATGGAGCTGCTACGCAGGAACACGTATTCCAAGTTTGACTTGTCAAAAGGTCATGCCAACGAGACGTCATCGGCCAAGTTGCGGAAGGTGTGACTGCGCTTCTATCCGATATTCTACGCAGTCGACACAAGGACCTGGAGTCTAGCTTAACATAGTCCAGTGTGCGAGCTGCCGATGGTATGATCCCGGTAGTATGTTGGTGGTGCTCGTCAGGTTATCTGATGATGGGCCAGCCTACTTTTGAAACGAATACACTCGTCGACTTTGGACATGCAGCAGACGCATCTACAGCACAACATATGTAAAGATTCTCTATTTGCTCTGCTCTTCTTACCTGTGTTCTCGAAAGCCAAGCGTTTTTTTCCACCTACCCTGACCACGTCTGATGAAAGAAAGGTGTGTGAGCATCTAAGCCTTGTTCGGATCCATGCATGTAGGCTGCCAAGAGGCAAGTGTACTTTGGTGCTTTAGCTAAGAAGCAGGATTCTCCTTCCGGAATGCACCGTAATCTGCTCGAAGTTTGTCGTCGTGCTGCTTAGTCAACCCAAACGGATTCTTGTCCAAAGAGCTCAGCGTCTTATCCTCCGATTTCCATAGCTCAAAGAAGAAGGCCTTGAACCATTCGGCAAAATTGTTATGCTCTTCGCTCTTCAACTTGGTGCTCTCGTCTCCATACTTTCCATGTAGATGCTGTCGCACGGATTCGACACCCTCCAACATGTCCATCATCGCCCGTACGACTGGGGCGTCGCCAAACATTGTTCGTAGACCGATAATTGTTTGTACATGGGCGTTGTGTGAGTCCAGTTTATACTTCAGCGCAGTGTACTTGACCAAAGCCTCGAGCTTTTCATACGCCAAGTCCAGCTGATTCTCTGGCGTAGGAATCCCCAGCAACCGGACAACGTCTTCGTACGGCTTGCCAATCGCTGCCCACCATTCTAGTAGCTCATCCCGGAGCAATTTTGCGTCGGGTCCATTCAAAGGACTTAGCTTCGCAATTGACAACATGGATGCCAATCTGCCCTCGCCAAAGCCTGCCAAAAGCGTGTCGAACAGCATCGCTTTGTTCGATGGTCCAAGATACTGCTTCAGCGCTAGCACATCTGTAAAGCGAAATTGTTCAAAGAAGCCGCGTTCCTGTAGAACCTTGACGAGATCCGTTGGTTGTTGACCTTTCATCCACTCCGAAAGCTTCTCGAGCATATCGGACTGATGGTGATTTTTCCGAGTGGAAATCATAGGGAGCAGGAAGTCCACGTGGACCTCCTTTGTGCCTTTTTCCGAGAGCGTAAGCAGTTCTTTTAGAAATCGCTCATCCTCGCTCATCACTTGACTCCAAGTGGCTGGAGTGAGCTTGAGCGCGCTAAGACCGCTGTACAACTTGGTGAACGCTACCTTGGCAATCGCTTGGAATGGTGCTGACGTGGTCAGTATCGGGCTTGGATCTTGGCCCCTCTCTTCATCGTCCGCGGTGTCTTGTACCCTCAACAGCCGATTGGCAGGAAAGTCCTTGAACACGTCATCCACGAATGGAGAATCGCTGGCCGTGATGTCGATATTGGTCGATGACAAGTCAGAACTTCCCGAGGCATCAGTGACACAAGTCGGCGCTGCCGTCGAGGCGAAGAGTACGAACGTGTAGATGCGCATTGATGTGTGGGCGGTAGGGCTGCTGTCAGTGGGGCTTCAGGCGAGTGGACAAATTCCGAAATGACCAAAAGCTAACTTGCAGTGCCGTCCAGTGGCTTTTGCAGGAGAGCTAGCCAGCACTTGCTTCGAGCCAATCATTGCCGCACTTGCACTTTGCCCATCTACTAGGACTTCCTTTACCTCAGTTTTGTAGCTCTGAGCCGGTTCTGTCTCGTAGCAGCGATCGCAGCACCGGCTCTTCTGGCTCGATCAGCTGATTTTTTACGTTTGTTGAATGGGCAGTCAATCAGCCAGGAGGAAGGGCTCCGTTTGTCTGACTGACGGTTGAATGACACCGCCCCCTTTGTGTGCACACTCTTTCGACACCGGCGCTTTTTAATTGAATGGACGTCAAGGATTAGAGCACACGAATGTAACGCGTAGCACAGAAGCGCATGTATTGTTGATTTGCATGCTTTGGGACATGTCATTTGGCATCAGGCCGGCAAGAGCCGGAATACAACACCAGTACACGTGTTAAAAGGCGACCCCTTCCTCGTTTTTTTTGGAGCATCCAGCCATGTCACTGGGTCTACTTGCTGCAGGCACCGAATTTGGTGGCGAGACACAGACCTATCGAGCACAAGTACAAGTCTGTCCACTCACTCCAACAGCGCACTGACACGGAAATATACAGCAACCATCTCAGCCGTTCAGCACCGTTTTCGCATTACACGTTGCACCGCTTATGCCAGGCCGTATCCATTCTTGCCGAAGAGGAATGATGCATTGACATTAATGATCCGTGTCACACGAAGCTGATCTTGCTGACCTGAGCTGCAAAAACTGAGGTGCTGGACAAAGCCGTGGGTATCTGCTTCTTCTGCTAGCCAATCATTTTCCACGGCAGGCTATGAGCGAGTCAGTACGGATATCGCGCCCGCTACACAATATGCAGTTCCTGCGCACTGCCATGCTACCTTGTGCTGCCCTATACTTATGACTGGCGCTTAGTGCTTATGCGTCGATGACTAGAGTATAATAACAGCTCTACGTTCGTGGCTCGCGCAATGTAGATTGATGGTGGTGTCAAGTACGTCCATTATTATGATAACTAACGACTGATAAGTGTGACAAGAAGTACGGCCCGGGTATCGGGTCGACAACTAAAGGGCTCCGTAGAGCCAGGGGCGACGGCAACGAGGTCAGAGACCCTCCTACCGAAGCCAACTACGAGTCAATCATGACCGCTGGCGCGACCAAGTAGACTGGGGACATGCGTACCGCCGGAGCGGCAGCACGTACAACGCGGGTATGCTGCCATATAAGGCAACAAACCCCTTTAGGACCGCTTGCGCGGCCCCCGACGTGGAGTGCGATCACCGAAGTGACTGCGTGGCGTGGAGAACGCCAACCCGCCGTTGATCTCTCCGAGGAGCTCAACCATCTGCGATGGTGGCCCCCTTCAGCCGCTTGCGCGGCCCCCGACGTGGAGTGCGATCACCGAAGTGACTGCGTGGCGTGGAGAACGCCAACCCGCCGTCTATCTCTCCGAGGAGCTCAACCATCTGCGATGGTGGCCCCCTTCAGCCGCTTGCGCGGCCCCCGACGTGGAGTGCGATCACCGAAGTGACTGCGTGGCGTGGAGAACGCCAACCCGCCGTCTATCTCTCCGAGGAGCTCATCCATCTGCGATGGTGGCTCCCTTCAGCCGCTTGCGCGGCCCCCGACGTGGAGTGCGATCACCGAAGTGACTGCGTGGCGTGGAGAACGCCAACCCGCCGTTGATCTCTCCGAGGAGCTCAACCATCTGCGATGGTGGCCCCCTTCAGCCGCTTGCGCGGCCCCCGACGTGGAGTGCGATCACCGAAGTGACTGCGTGGCGTGGAGAACGCCAACCCGCCGTCTATCTCTCCGAGGAGCTCAACCATCTGCGATGGTGGCCCCCTTCAGCCGCTTGCGCGGCCCCCGACGTGGAGTGCGATCACCGAAGTGACTGCGTGGCGTGGAGAACGCCAACCCGCCATATATCTCTCCGAGGAGCTCAACCATCTGCGATGGTGGCTCCCTTCAGCCGCTTGCGCGGCCCCCGACGTGGAGTGCGATCACCGAAGTGACTGCGTGGCGTGGAGAACGCCAACCCGCCGTTGATCTCTCCGAGGAGCTCAACCATCTGCGATGGTGGCCCCCTTCAGCCGCTTGCGCGGCCCCCGACGTGGAGTGCGATCACCGAAGTGACTGCGTGGCGTGGAGAACGCCAGCCCGCCGTCTATCTCTCCGAGGAGCTCAACCATCTGCGATGGTGGCCCCCTTCAGCCGCTTGCGCGGCCCCCGACGTGGAGTGCGATCACCGAAGTGACTGCGTGGCGTGGAGAACGCCAACCCGCCGTATATCTCTCCGAGGAGCTCAACCATCTGCGATGGTGGCCCCCTTCAGCCGCTTGCGCGGCCCCCGACGTGGAGTGCGATCACCGAAGTGACTGCGTGGCGTGGAGAACGCCAACCCGCCGTCTATCTCTCCGAGGAGCTCAACCATCTGCGATGGTGGCCCCCTTCAGCCGCTTGCGCGGCCCCCGACGTGGAGTGCGATCACCGAAGTGACTGCGTGGCGTGGAGAACGCCAACCCGCCGTATATCTCTCCGAGGAGCTCAACCATCTGCGATGGTGGCCCCCTTCAGCCGCTTGCGCGGCCCCCGACGTGGAGTGCGATCACCGAAGTGACTGCGTGGCGTGGAGAACGCCAACCCGCCATATATCTCTCCGAGGAGCTCAACCATCTGCGATGGTGGCCCCCTTCAGCCGCTTGCGCGGCCCCCGACGTGGAGTGCGATCACCGAAGTGACTGCGTGGCGTGGAGAACGCCAACCCGCCATATATCTCTCCGAGGAGCTCAACCATCTGCGATGGTGGCCCCCTTCAGCCGCTTGCGCGGCCCCCGACGTGGAGTGCGATCACCGGAGTGACTGCGTGGCGTGGAGAACGCCAACCCGCCGTATATCTCTCCGAGGAGCTCAACCATCTGCGATGGTGGCCCCCTTCAGCCGCTTGCGCGGCCCCCGACGTGGAGTGCGATCACCGAAGTGACTGCGTGGCGTGGAGAACGCCAACCCGCCATATATCTCTCCGAGGAGCTCAACCATCTGCGATGGTGGCCCCCTTCAGCCGCTTGCGCGGCCCCCGACGTGGAGTGCGATCACCGAAGTGACTGCGTGGCGTGGAGAACGCCAACCCGCCGTCTATCTCTCCGAGGAGCTCAACCATCTGCGATGGTGGCCCCCTTCAGCCGCTTGCGCGGCCCCCGACGTGGAGTGCGATCACCGGAGTGACTGCGTGGCGTGGAGAACGCCAACCCGCCGTATATCTCTCCGAGGAGCTCAACCATCTGCGATGGTGGTCCCCTTCAGCCGCTTGCGCGGCCCCTTGACGTGGAGTGTGCGCTCGCCGCAGCGGCGACACGTAGCGCGGGGTACGCCTCCAGTCCGTAAAACACCCCTGCTAGGGCCGCTTGCGCGACCCGTCGGTCTCCTACGCCCACACCCGCGACTGCGAGTGCAGCGTGCCCGCGTCAGATCTTCGACCACGTCGGCTCCCCAAGGGGAGGATTCCCTCCGACGTGACTGCCCCGAAGGGAAAAGACTGCCTTGAGCTAAACCGTGAAAATTTGGGAATGGGCGCAATGTAGATTGAGTATGACTCGTGGCACTGAAGTCAATGTATAAGATACCATTCAGATTCCCGTTATCTTTTTCGATTTGCATCATCTGCTATCGTTCGTCCAGTCACGAGGAGTTGCCATCCAGATCAAGCATCTCGGGTTTTGAAGGTGGCATGTCAGCGTGTACGACACACTTTCCGTGGGATTTCGAGAGCATCGTCTCCAACGTCATTTATCTTCTACGCTTGTCCACTGAGTGTGAGAACGAATGACACTAGTTGCTAGATCCGTTGACTTACAGTTCGCTTCTTTTCTTTAGCCGTCGTCGTCACCGCATTGCTGCAGCGATGGTGACTATAACTCTGTGGTGCACACTTTCACTACGGTCAGTGTAGGTACCTTGTAATGTGTCGCTACATGCATTCTGATCCAACTACACGTATATCACGACTTACCACAAGACGAAGATGTTTACTACCCGTCGCATTGGTCGAATGAAGGTAAGCGTGGCATTGCGTGTCAAGCGGAATTAGGGGACCTAGGGTGGCGGCCAGGGATAACGTCCGATAAAGTATCACCATGTAAGATTCGAACTTATATGTACATCAAAAAATTACGTCAGTACTACTATCCATAACTAGTGTTCTGCGCTTTCTCTTTCTTCAGCACATTTTTCTCTATTTGTTGCTCTCTTCTGTCCGACTTCTTCTTTCATAGCACTAGCTGGTTAGTTTATCCCACGACCAAGCGTTAACATCATCCAAAGATAATGGATATGACTAGCTCATTTACCGTAACATGATGACCGAGCTCATCATTGGTCTGGCCATAGTCCGACCAAAGAGAGAATGAGTATTTCAATCACGTAATCGGAACTGTAATCCTTGACGTATGCACACCTTCTCTTTCAAGCCAAGCCTAATTACCTGTGCTCCTGCGGTGATGCTATCTGTTGAGTGCTGCACTACATAATGGATGCAACGAGTAAATGACTACGAGCGAAGTTTGCAGTTTCGTTCAAGGCTGTTGGCAACTCAGATGTTTGAGGTCAAGGCAGTTGCCACTTGGCAATAAATATTTAGCATCTAGCATTTGTGGACGTGAAATGCAAGATTGCCAAGGTAGCAGAAAGGATGACTTAGCATTAGTCTTAGTGCCACTTTTGCAGATGACAAGATGAACGAGCATGCATCAGCGGTGCAAAAGCTAATCAAATACGTTCTATACGTACAAGCACAGTTGTTATTCAGAAATTAACGTCACAACCACTGGTTCGGTCACCAGACGACACTGCTTTTTAACGATATAGCGTCTGCTAGAAAGCTAAGTTAGGCAACCGCGTCCACTACCGAAAATACAGCAGTT